GAGGACAACGAGGGGGCTCTCGCGTTGGTGCAGAACCCTTTCAGCTCGGCGAGGAGCAAGCATATCGACGTGCGGTTCCACTTCATCCGCGAGCTCTTCAAGGCGGGCAAGATCACCGCAGATTATGTCTCGACAGAAGAGCAGCACGCCGATGTGCTGACCAAGGTCCTTGGTAGGGGCAAGTTGGAGTATCACCGGAAGGCTCTGACGAACCTGCCGATGTAGGGTTCTGGTCTCGTTTTCGTGGCGTTTGTTTTGTTTTGTTCTAGCACTGGGCGCGTCTCGGACCATGGTATGTCACGCAGGAAGCGTTGGGCAGGGGCGTCACCCGCGGCGGGAGCTTAGGGTTTTTGACCAATTGCTTCGGGTGTGTAATCAGCGTGGCCTGTCCAATCTGTCCTGCCTTGGTCCTGCCCTGATAGTGCGGCCGTTGGAATCCTTCGTGATAGCGACGGTTTCTTTAATGTTTTGAGTTTGTAGGCGAGGGTTTTTGATCCGGATGGCCGAGTTTTTCCCTTGCACCCGTTGTTGTATGAGTAACTTAAGTAGATCTGGAGTATCCATGCCCCACTGATGGTTTGTCAATAGCTTGACGAACCGGGGAGGGTGTTCGTGTGTCTGGATACGAGCATGGTAGATCTGCTAGCAGCACGGGGGGGGTACGTAGACAGGAGCATGCGTATGCCTGAAAAAGGCTACTATGTGTGGGCCCCCTTCCCCGAATTCGGGAGGGCCACTTCCTCCCTTCCTTTCCTCGCTCCCGCGGGTGCCTAATCAGAGAGAGTTAAAGCGTGTCTTCTCCTCCCAAGTACGGACATACCAACAACCCCGACCACCTGCCCAGATTCTTAGTACTCCGACTTTAGGCAGGTAGCAAGCGATTTGCAAGCGTTCCACCTTGCTCAGTGTCGTGCCTGGTGTTCCCTGGTGTTGCCTGGGAGTGAGCGATAGCGAGCGACTGAGAAGGGAAGGATAAGGAAGGAAACAGACTGAAGGAGCGAAGCGGCTCCAACCTGCACACAGTGGTCGGACTAGCTCCACACCGAACCCGCGTCAGAGATCGTCACATCTCGTCACAATTCCTCCTCGCTCGAAAGGAATCTCGCATATCGACATACGCAGCTGCAGAGCCAGACCTCGCGAAGCACTACTATTTTACTACTTTATTTCGAAGTATTTGTTGTTTCCGCCTTCCGGCGCGTTTTTTTTTTAGGGGGGGGGAGGGTGGAGTAGAAATGGTACCCTACCATGCTTTCCATCCACGGGGCACAACGTTTCCGAAGCGTCTTTGACGCGGCGACGACTGTACCTTGAACTGACGGCAAATTCACAGGCCCGTCCATAGGCTACCGATCATGAAGGGCAAACCATGAACTTCCCGCCCAAAGAGGTGTTGGCTGGCACACAACACTATTCCGGAGGTCAAGCAACCGACATGCTGTGAGGTCTTGGAGACACGAGTCACGCGTTCAACTCAGAATGTATGCCTCAGAACGAGAAGATGCACGAGTTTTCAACACTTTCTGGCTGATCCCAGGGGGCGGTTTTGAACAGATACTGATGGCAAGGAGAAAACAGAGAGGAAGAGGAAGGGGCACGTGCGCCCACGCTTCAAGTTCATTCTCGACAACATGGAATCACACACACACAAATATCATACGCGTTCAGAGTACAAAGCTAGTCACTTACCGAAAAACCTTCATCACACACGGTACAACGGCAACATACATACTGGCAACCTCAAGTGATCACTCTCCCTGAAGAACGGTGAAATGCATACTGCAGCTTCCAACTGACCTACATAAGACTTTTTTTGGTTTGTCTTCACTTCCAATCAGCGCTCACAGCACTGGTGCCTTTTACTCCAACCCGTGGTCACACAGAAGCGCCCCTCTCTACCCTCCCCTCCTGCGGTACTTCGCCTTCGATTTTGAATGCGAGAAGAGTTCAGCACTCTCTTCTATCTGTGTACACAAGAACTAGCGCTATCCACTAGGCCAGAAGCGGAAGCGAGAGAAAAACTCACTTTGCAAGAAAAGCTCGCTTACCCCGGGATTCGAACCCCTGACCTGACCTCTAGAAGGATTCGAGGATACACACTAGACCACCGGGGCGACCAGCACACTACAGCTTAGCGGATTTGCCTGCTTGACGCTGCGAATACTCGTTCAAAGATGCACGCACTTTTACTTGACATGGTGTACAACCATGAATGTTACAATGTTGAATAAATACGATATCGTACGAAGAACAGCCATCTCTGACCCTCCTACTGTACACTACAGCATAATTGTTGAAGTCATGATGCTGCGGAGCAATCCGATTGCAGCGGATCGACGCTTCACCCCTCGTGCGATAACAACCTACACCGTTTCCTTCCACAACCTTCCATATCATATATAATGCTGGCACCAAATGGCGTGGGCTCTGCTCTGCTGTAGGGCTCCAGGGGTACTCTCTCTATATCGCTTGTGCTTTGATCCACCACCACTGATCTTTCAGTCATCGTTGCCGACAGCGAACGGAGACGGATAGGAGAAGGATCTGCCGAGACGGGCACACTGAATATATTCCTGACACACTAAACTTGGGACAAGGAGATGTCAAACGCTAACCCTGCCCTCGTCCGTGGTTGCCACTAACTCAATCAGAAAAAACAAACAACTATATGATGCACACGGTGGCCAATTCAACGATTGTCACTCAACGATCACTCAACTCGTTCTCGGTGTCCTTCTCCGTTGCACTCGGATTTTTGGTTTGTGATTGCTGCGAAGTTGGTAGTTACGGCATCGCACTCATCAAAACTCTTGATTGTCCTGTAGTCTGCCAAGTACTGCTCAAGCAAGGCTGGATCTTCTGGGGCACAGCGCCGGTTGACCTGGCAGACCCGTTCCAGTTTTCTCAGATCCGGACGCCAATCGCCAGGTCGAGCGTCGCGAGGATCCACAGCCAGCCAGTGGACAGCGTCATGCATGTGGTACCTGAGGCATATGAAGAGGTCACCGCAACGTTGACAGTTCAGCGTGCAATTCACGCCGAAAACCATGCATTCACACATCCATGACCACCAAGTTAACGTAGTGACCTTCATTTCTTGGTGCCGAGAACGTAAATATGGCCTGGCAATTTCGGAGTGATATCCCACATAGGGAAACCCCGTCGACGCCCCACGCCACACGGACTTCCTACATCACACGGGCATGAGGGCCGCCTGCCCCTGGGAAGGCGTAAAGCGTGCACATGGGAGCATCGGACAGGTATCAATTACCCTCAATTACCCTTGCCCTAAGGTAGATCAAGAGGAAGAATCCACAAACAGCCCATAATGGCGTCACCCTGGACGGGCAGATATCTCGTGTGAGAACCCGCTGCACGGGCAGAGATATATTGTGAGAACCTCCCGAAACGCATTCCCAAAACGCCTGACGTTTCGGTACACATATTGTTGTATATTCACTACAATAATGCCATTGCTTTGAAGCGACTCCGTGGAGTTGGCGCGTAGTGCCGATGGTGAGATCCAAAACAGCTTGAACTGAGGCCCTTTCGCGATCTGCATGAAATGAAATACTGGATTTACACCCATGGACGTGCAAGTGGGAGAACCTGTGCGTCCCATGTGACTTTCGCGTGTGACGTTCGGCGTATATGCGCCACCGGACGCCCAACGCGTTCCATGGGAGGTACCACTTTCGTCGGGACCAAGGGCAAACAAGACCTGTCGTGACCTTTTCGATTTCACTCTGAAAAAATCGAGTGAGTGACTGCCGCACAACAACAATGGTCTCTGAAAAAATGTGTCAGGCGACATGTATTTGGTAAGGAGTGCCGGTGCTACTACATATTCTCGATTAGACTAATTGTTATCTTCTTTGTTGTTCCGATCTACGCCCGATATATCTTGTGTTCACAGCCAAAGGATGACACTGCGGACATGCGTGCTGGATTTGAGTGCGTTTGATTTTGCGATGCACGATCATCGGTTTGCGTTTTACCTGCGAACTGCAGGACCGAGAAAAGAGGCGTTTTTGCATCGCACATCCAGCAACTACGGGTCGAGAAATAATACTGGCGCATCGCCAAGAAGAGGAGATATCAATTCAAAAGGTGTCACGGTAAGCATGTGACTCCTGTTTCACAAGCAGCCAACTTCCAAGTTGCCTGGTTCCATTGCCTGGCGGATCGTCTTTCGACTACCTCCGTCAGTGGTGCACCCAAGCGGGTCGGATAGAATTTCCCCGCACAAAGATAAGTACCTTCATTGGAGGGCCACACAAAAATGCGACCGATACTCAAAAAAGAATCATACGCACTTCAGCACGCTTCGGGTATCATTCACTCTTGGCATTCTCGAGGAAGTCGGTGGAATTTTCTCAAAGTTTGAAAAGTCTGCCTGGAGATGATGTTTCCGTCATGCCGGCGAGGCTGTCACATTTTCTGCAATAAATAGCCTTAGGCGCGAGTTGGTTTACTTTCCCGTCGGCATAATGCCTGCTTCTTTTGCTACAATACGTGTTCGACGTATTCATTATCATCATTTTTCGTTCTCGTTGTGTCTTGATAAGGTGGTCCAGTATTTATTTATTTTTGCCTTCCGACAATTGCAGATGTATCTCAGAAAACTTTCACTTAATGTCTCATGCTCTACATAAATATCAAACCAATACGAAGTACAACAACATATGTAGTACAACAATACGAGTTCATCGATGAACTTGCGACACATGCCGTGGGAGGAAGGGACGGAGGAACGATGGCTCTGAAAGGCGCCTTCAAGGAACGACTTTTTCAGATCGTTTCGGTGGCTACACAGGTAGCCATATCTCGGCGAGTGCAGAGGCACAAGCTCGCATTGCGCGGGCGTCAAGCCGCCAAAAACAGGCGAACAAGTCAACGCCAATGATATGGGGATGGAGTGTAGACGCATCGTAGAACGCGTTTCGTTTGAAGTTGGCGTCTTGTTTGAGGGCAGATGTGACAGATTTGCGTAGGTTATTCTAACAGGGTGAGATGTTATCATGAACGGCGAAGAAAGGGCTTTTCCAACACGGAGGTGTAGCATGGATCAAAGAATTTGTTGGATTTCAGCTTTTACAAGAGGACATCAACGCAGTAGTATTTTAGCAAGCTTACGAACGCATGTAGGATACCATGAGGATTGTCATTGGTTTTATTTCAAATTGATGAGGAAATATTTTTACGATGTGACAGTAGAAATAAGTCCTACATACATACGTTGTTGTACTTCGTATTGGTCTAATATTCATGTAGAGTATGAGACATAAAGTGAAAGTTTTCTGAGGTACATCTGCAATTGTCGGAAGGCAAAAAAAACAAAAAACACATGTAGTATTGTGTAGCAGCAAGACTCCAAAGCAACACTTGACCCAGCGCAAGGGTAGAGCACTTACCACAAATATGCTCCGATGAAGTTGGAGTCAGAAAACATCAAAGATCTCTCGTCTTGTGTCCTGTCGGTTTCGGTGTCGGGGTTCATGCAAGACCCGCGTCGACTAGCCATGAAGTCGACGAAGGGCATCCCGTTGTGCTGCTCAATGAACTCCCGAGCAGCTGGGTACCTGAACCAGAATTCCAGTTGATGAAGAGCACCAATTTTGGTGAGTTGATCAGGTTGTATACACCTTCAGACGTGCGTAAAGCGAGCCTGCAGCGACATCACAAAACCTACGTGAGTAAACAATAGAACCAGAATATCTGATTTCAAATCGAGTCATCAGCATCGTTTGGTGTCATTTAACGCAAGTGGAGAGGCCGCCATTATGACCTTAGAGCGCCTGGAGTGTTCTGAAGGCCTCTACCACGCCTTCGCAAGGTATTGGATGCCGTTGCCGTTTGTTACCGGAGTTATCTCAAGAAGGTTGTAGACTATGTTTCGAGGCACTCGTCATTCGAAGCTTAAGTCGCTCAGGTTGCACAACAAATACTACTGATGATACCTTGCACTTCAAGATATTGATGTGCTGCTTCGTGCCCAATGCGATTTCGCCTCACATGGATCGTGGGTACAAGTGGATGTTCGAGACGCCGAAGTCGTGGATGACGTCTTCCCCGATGGCGGAAGATGTGCCGCTCTCCCAGCACATGGCCTCCGTCCACTCTGGTCAATGCGAAGGTTGCAGCAGTTGCTTGATACTTGAAAACTCGAGAAAATGGCGCTGAGTGTACGGTGTGGGGTGCATTCTGCAAATTGTACGCATTTTCAATATTCCCGTCTCGCATTGCATAAGAAAGGTGGGCGTCAATCACTAAACAACGACGTTGAGAATGTATAATATTGCTTGTACGTTGATCTCCGGCTGAGGTGGAAAGGAAAATTCGAACCAAGCTTCTTCGTTGTCGAATGTCGGTGGCCTGTTTTCCTCGTTGGTCTACAAGCAATGGTGGTTTGCTTTCATTCGAACGCGGGACAATCATTCGGACCTCAAGCTTAGGAGACGACACAGGCATGGTCTCGATCGTTTGCAAGCATATCTAATTTCGAAAAACGGAGTGCAGACACCGTGGCAGCCCCCAGCAGAATGCTCGTGCGGTTACTACGTGTCTCGAGTGCTTTACCTTCCAATCGACGATTCTTCTCGTATCGTCGGAACGGCAAGACGGGCTTGCCAAGATGAAACATGTGCGCGAACGACACATCCTGGAACACGACCGCGTCCGAATCCAGGTGCAAAATGTAGTCCCCTTCCGTGTACAAGTCAGCCCGTAGCTGCAGTGTGGTCGAGAGGCAGAGTCGATGTACGGAAATTCCAAGTCAAGTCGGTTGGCATTTGTGAAAGTTACGAGATTCAACAACGTGCGACGAGTTGAAGATTTTCCCCGTCTCCACTATTACTTCTGTCATTACCACCAGGGTATGCACACCAACCAGTACAAAGTGACTTCTCTCTTGAATGGGGGGGATGATGTTGGGAAAAATAATTTTCGACGAGAGGTGCGAGACAGAACTATGGGCAACTGATGCACACGAAAAAAATATCGCTGCTCACACGATCGTCAGTTGGGTGTGTGCACGGCCAGACAGACAAAAAAAAGAACACACACACACACACACGTTTCTCTCAGCGTATCAATCGCTTTCGTGTGGGCTGCAGACTTTTACTACACCGCCAAACCGTTACATACGTTTCTCTCACCTTCGAGTACTTTTGCTGAAGTTTACCGTCCATTAGCTCGGGCTCTCCGATGACACGAATGGGAAACGGTGCGACGATCCGAAACGGTTGGACGATGCTCTCGAAAAGCCCGACGTCGGCTTCCACGACAACGACAACCACCTCAAAGGCACTTGAAACGTGCTCGATCACAGTGGCGATCGAAGCGTTGAATAGCTTTGCATCTCCGACGAACGTTCGGTACATAACCGTAACATCGTAGTCGAGCGACTTCGGCACCTTCTGTTCTGCTCCTTGGACGCTGAGCTGCCGGTTGACCTTGACGTCCAAGCTCGACACCTCAACTGCTTTAAAGCCTTGCTCACACGATGCCCCCAACTTGAGAGCTTCGAGCTCTTTGGCGAATATCTCTCCCATGTCGTACCCTTGGTTTCCCAGTGATCTATCCAAGGAACAGCCGAACCGAGGCTTCACCATCGGGACGTCCCAAATCGAAGCCTCCGAAAAAAGATTTTGGTGACTCCATTCGTTCATGTTGACAAACGTCACACCAGGTGGACTGCGGGAATAGGCCAAGGCAGCAAGCACCTGTGACAAGGGACAACCAACGATATCGTACGTGCAGAAATTCGCGCTCATGGTTATTGGCTGACGGAGCGATCACCACCAAACTCTACTCGCACGCGCGTGCTACGACGGCAGGCTGTTGGGTGTTCACCAGAGCCATGCGTGGTTAGGCACAGGTTGTGCTGTCTCTCTCCCCTCTAAAACTTCATGAGTGGTACACTAAGGCCTGCCTTGATTCCGGCCTCCCTTGATTTCGAGCGTGAACACCTGCATGTTGACGCAACAAGATTCTATCATCAATCAACTGCAATAGTGGCATTTATGGAGATGACTACAAGAAAATGCCTGTAGTGCGTAAACCATGGATAGGCCATTACATGACGTGCACCAAATGCCAATCGCACCTACCTCCGGAATATTTATTGTGGCGGAGTCCTTGTGGGTGCTCGCCACGCCGGCCAAGTACTCGTATATCCTTTCCACCCGGTCGGAGTGGCCATGCTTAGCGTCTGTGCGTGCCACCAGCTTCTGATTACCTTCCAACACAGCTCGGAGCTGTGCATTGGTTTCCGCCGGGAGGATGAGATCACTTCCATAAGTAAATGTCGGCGTGGTTACCCCTAAAAGAACCGAGCTGCCCATTCCACGGGCTGCGACCACTTGGGGGACTTCATCCGTGTTGACAAGGGACACTATGAGATCCCCCATGACCGTGTGCGTGTCCTTCTTCGTAAAGGTGCGACTGAGCATCTCGCCGGCGTCCATGTAGTAGATCAAGCGTGTTGCTTCGCCACAGATGTAGTCCGCGACCAAAGGTCCATGCTCAACGTTGGTCGAAGTTCCAACTGTGACGTTAGGAAGGTGTCCGAACGTCCTGATGTTTACAAAGTAGTCACCGCAAAGAATGTTTATTTCACTCAGAGGCAGGGGTGGAGGACGTGAGTACCCGGAAGAAAAGGCGCATGATAAATGTACAACAACTCGAAATTAAGCCTCAAAGGACCATCGGGAGGCTGACGATATACATGGAACCATCGAAGCAAAATGTGGTCAATTTCAATGCGGTATAGAAACACATGTGTGGAACCTCGGGGGAAAGCGCGTTAGGTAGGTCACGGCATGTCAATGTCCCTCGGCATTTTCTAGCTCCATTACTCCCGGAAAAGACGCGTAATTGCCGCGCGATTTTTGCAGGCAAAGGTTGTGCAATCTCTTCGTGGGGGTTGGGCCTTCTAGGAGCTACGGCCTTTGAATTTTTATTAACCTTGAGAAACCTGTGAACACCCCATCGAGGCACCGCTCTGTGCAAAGGGCTTTCCAAGCAGAAAATAAAACACACGTGTATACTCGGGCGAGTGCGACCGTCCCGGGTCAACCGATCGCTTGTGCACCTCCTCGAGACAGTTTTCCAAAATTGCGGCTGACCTGTGGAATTCTTCAAAATCACTTGGGTGTGTTGCGATCCCGATCCGCATTCCCGGCATGAAGTGCAGAACGCTCGACACGGCGACCTTCGTTATTGGCAGCAGACGGGAATACCCGCGCATGAAAGCACATATCTGACCGCGCGTGGTGGTGCCGATGTATTCCGTCGCGGAGGGACCCTGACTCTCCTCGTTCCCGGAAATAATCTCCTTGTTGCTGCGTTCGTGAGGAGCGGGGGCTACCAAAGTCGGGCCATTGCCGGCATCAGCGCTGCCGTGCCCGTTCTCCTCTTCCTTGTTCGTGTACGACCCGATCGGTGGTGGGGGCTCGTGGGTGTTGCACATAACGACCCTTCCGTCATGGGCCTTGGCGAACTCATCCGCAAGATGAGCCGCGGGCAACTCATTGAAGCACAGTCGGCATGTGCTGCCAAGACCTCTCCAGTCGCAGTTAAAGTCCCCATACCGCCCGCTTCCGCAACGATAATCACACACCTGAGCAGACCGCAGTCGAGAATCAGACGACGAGCTTAGCGTAAAACGTGTGTTGGAACACTGCATGGCCATGATGTATTGCGAGTTGTGCATACATCCATGCTAGGTATTGTCGGTGGAAGATGTCTAGCTTAGTCATTGGGGAAAATCACAATAAACTTGCGCCCGACCTTCGCCCTGAGGGCGCCTGGTGAAGGACTCCTGTTCGAGAGTAGACGGAGGATGCAAGTGAAGGACATGCCCCCCTCGGGCGGTCCGTCTCTCACTCTCACTCTCACTCACTCTCACTCTCACTCTCACTCACTCTCACTCTCACTCTCACTCTCACTCTCACTCACTCACTCACTCCTGTCTCTGTCTCTGTCTCTGTCTCTGTCTCTGTCTCTGTCTCTGTCTCTGTCTCTGTC